CCCCAAAACCCCAAAACCCCAAAACCCCTCTAGCCTATTTAAAAATTGGAGAGAACTACAAATAAAATGGCAACACAGCTATTATCGAAAAAAGTGATGTTCACTTTGGTTATCCTTATTGGGATTTTTACAGCAGGTAAGTATGTTAAGGAGTACGAATAAGATAGATCTAACAGTTTTTGCCTGCTCAAGTTTATCCTTGATAGAAACATGATATTAACATTATATAGGATGAGAAGCTTCAGATAATCAATGCTTAGATGCAATCTTATCAACACCTGCTGCGATTACAACAATGTTAATGGCTTCAGGCAAGAATCTTAACGACTTTGGAGATCCAACAGCTTGAGATTTGGACCCCCTTACAGATTACGCGATGATTTCTGTTAAAGGAGTTCCTGTATTTATTGGTCTCTGATTACCATCAATCTGCCAAAGTTCAGACTTGAAGATTATTTCAGATGCTTTAAGTACTCTTGCTCAAAATATGGGGGTTCCTGGAGGAGAAGGAATGGTCCATTTTCCAAACAAGGAACAATACTCAGTATCAGGTTGGCACATCTTCGGGTTCATTGCCTTCGGATATTTTAGTTTGTTCTTTATTGTTGGACTCTTTGTTGAATATACTTCCCTCTTTGGGCAAGCCCCACCGCAAGAAGAGTCTGCATCTGATGCTCAAAAAGATAAGGTGCTTGTAAAATCAAAATCTTTTCTAGGGAAATTTTTCCTAGCTTTTTCTCCTTCAAGAAATCTCCAGAAAATGTTTTACACTCCTCAAAAAGATGATGATTATCTATCAGCCTTGAATGGGATTAGGACAATCAGCATGTTTTTCGTAATTTTAGGACACACGAATGCAATTCTAGCACAAGGGGAGTGACTAACGCCCAAGAGGCATTAACAATGAAGAACTCCTGGTGGGCAATCTTTATTGGTACAGGCCTTTATTCTGTAGATACATTCTTCTTTATCTCAGCTTTTCTTGCTACCTACTTGATGCTGACGAAGTTCCATGGATGTAAGATCTTCAATATTCTAATGGTGTACCTTCATAGAGTGATTAGAGTAGTTCCAACTATTCTGCTCCTATTCGCTCTATTCTTCACCTTCTTCGCATTCCTTGGCTCTGGGCCTCTCTGGAAACCATATGTTGATAACGAGATTGCACAATGTAAAACAGGATGGTGGCCAACAGTCCTGTTTATACAATCTTGGCACTTTACTGGGGCATGCTTTGTCCAACTGTGGTATCTATCAAACGAGATGACTTACTTCCTATTTGTTCCAATTATTGTGCTAGCTTATCTAAATTCAAAATTGATTGGATACAGCATAGTTGCGTTTTTCAATGTGATTTCCATAATCTTACCATTTATTTTCTCCCACATCAGAGGGCATTCGATTACCGTTCTAAAAGACCCTGCAGAGGCATACATCCAAGAGATTTATAATTATCCATGGACAAGGAGCGGAGCTTACTTTGTTGGAGTCTTATTCGGAATATTATACTTTGAATATGCCAAGTCAGGCTCAGATCCTTTCTATCGGATCTCATTAGGAGCAAGGTTCTATAATTTATTTAAGAAGAATACTCTCTTGTGTTACATAAGTTTCTTCTTATCTTCAATAGTGATGCTGTTCTTCATAATCTTCCCAAGAATTGAACTTCACGATCTAAATGAGAGGAAGCTCAGTCAGATTCCAAGTGATTTCTTCAATGCATTCCACAGATCAACTTTTGTTGCATCACTTGGATTCTTCCTTGCTCCGATTTTTGTCGGGAGATTAAGCCTAATCAAAGACTTCTTCGGAACAAGGCTCTGGGCACCCTGGGCGAAGGTAACTTTTGTTGCATATCTGATTCACTTGCATGTCTTAGGTTGGTTCTTTATGCAATCGAAGGGATCAAGGTATTTTGATGGCCCGTCACAAATATTCTACGCACTATCTACTTTCCTGGTCTGTTTAATAGTTGGAGTCCCAATTGCACTGATCATCGAATCACCGATATTGCAAATTGAAAGATTAGTGCTCTTCCCACCAAAGCAAAAGCCTGAGTACACAGTTGTCCAAGAGCATTTGATTGATAAAGTTGCTATCAACTCTAACGATAGCTCTGAGATGACCAAAGATGAAATAAAATCCTTCAAGTAAATTCTGGTCTAAGATCAACATTTGGATATTTGTCTGGGGTTTTGGGGTTTTGGGGTTTTGGGG